CTTAAAAACAAAAGTTACTTACGTATTGTAGACTAGGCAATATGATTTGTATTAGAAATACTAGCTGAATGAATGTAGATTTGTATTTAGATTTATATACAAAAATAGTATTGTAAAAAAATGAATATGGGGGTTCTCAAGCTGAAAATACGCAGTGAACATTTATTCATGAATATAATCCTCGTTTATCATTGAAAAATGCCTCTCGCTACACAATTTCACGACTACGCCCTTTACAGAATCACGCGAGAGAGTGAAAAGTTACGAAAAATATAAGAAAAGTAACCATCTGGCAACACGGGTGATCATCTCCGCACGTATATTATGACGTTTGCGCATTCGAGACAAATCATGGGTTTTTTTATCGTATACTCAGTGATGGGAGGAACAAATCGTGCGCCTGTTGGTAAGCGACACGCCTGCTCATAACAGTTGCAGTGCAACTCGGAACTATAAATCGCAAAGATCAGAGGGGCACTGGCACTGCGCCCATCACCCTGAGACATAAGTTGAAAAGTCCCATGTGCCTGTAATTTCACCAGCAACCTTACCCTTCCAAACCGGACCGCAGTAATGTCCACATTACTACTTGGCGGCAGAAATAGGTAAGGTGGTAGTACTTCCCTAGACGAACTCTTTCACAAGGAGCTCTACTGCTACTTATATATTAATAAACAATTTTTTTTTTTAATTCCCGCAACACGGCTTATCCAAACCTAACGCATGCAGGATTTCATTGAACCAATTAGCTGTCAAACAGCAGTCTTCTACAATAGAAGTTTTGACACTAAACGTCGATTTGTAAAAAACATCTTATACTGATCACGAACATCGTGTGCCATATGACCTGACGTACCTCATAGCCATCAGTGTATGATGATCTTCTTTTAATACTGATATAGTTGTAGCATATCTAACTGTCAGTTTGTTTCGTCGCTGTTGCGATTTCAAATAGGTCTCAAAACTGAAAAAGATTCCTATTCATGTGAAGAAAGTTACATTTAGTTGCAGCTCCCTGTGAGTTGGTCCAGGGAAATACTATCACCTTCTCTATTAATCTGAGCTTTGTCCGTTTCGGTCTTGATGGGTAAGATTGCTGGTGAAATTACAAGCACACGGGTCTTCTCAACACTGTGTTCCTCAGATCTTTGCGGTTTAAATCTCTAAGTGGCAGTGTAAAGTTTTATAATACTAACTACCTTGCAGGACTATATTACTAACTTCATAAACTTTTGTTCTATAACATTTGACAAAACATAATAAATTTACCAAAAAAATATACAAGTATTTGTTGTACTATCTGAAAATTTTTAGACCTATATTTATTAGAATAAGTTCAAACGAGCAAGCGATTCCACCCGCCCGTCCTATACAGGGTTATTATTTAGAGCGATCTATTTAAATCTATTTATTTTTGTATGAAAGTAAAATCAGATGAATTATTGAAAGTCATGGAACAAAAGTTATTGTTATTATTTTAAAAATACTCTGTATATACTTAACTTCAAAATTATATGTAGGTATATCAAGTACATACACGTCTTGGCGCATTGAAAATTCCTCTCAGCTCTGCCTACTTCGGCTTTACCTTTTCATTTGTGTCTCTTCACGACTTTTTGGGTTGATACCTATGTACGCAGTTCAAACTGCTGAGTACAGGCCTCTGGGAAGACTATCTGGCCAAAACTGATCCAATGCGGGTTGAAAATTTCAGACGTACGTAATTCAAAAATTTTTAATTCTCTCCAAAATACAGATTTCATCGCAATCATGAATAAGTAATACGTCACCATTATAAATTAGTAATCATAAAAGAAGAGGAGAATTATAAGTCCAGATCCAGTTCCAGGAGATAAACCGTTAATAAAATTACATGCACGTACAGTCAGAGTTTAGAACTAGTCAAACTATTGGACTGATTGGTATTGACCGAGACCCACACAGGCGTGGTGATCAACAAAGTAAATCATGGTGCCTTATTAGCTTTCACGCACACAGAGCTAATCGTTGTAATGCAATAAGAGCTTAAGT